CAAGTGCTGAAGGAGAAAAAGCTTTATGCTAAACCTTCCAAGTGTGAGTTTTGGCTCAAATCAGTCAAGTTTCTGGGGCATGTGATTTCAGCAGATGGAGTTGCAGTGGATCCCAACAAGATTGAGGCCGTGTTGGATTGGGAGAGGCCCAAGACAGCTACGGAGGTGAGGAGCTTCTTAGGTTTGGCAGGTTAGTATCGGAGGTTCATCAAGGGTTTTTCCACGATGGTTCTCCCTTTGACTCGCCTTAACCGAAAGGAGACTCCATTTGTGTGGACTCACGAGTGTGAGGCGTGCTTCCAGGAGTTGAGGGAGAGATTGACTTCTTCACCTGTGTTGATCCTTCCTGATCCTGAGGAGCAGTTTGAGCTTTACTGTGATGCTTCTGGAAAAGGGGCTGGGCTGTGTGCTGATGCAGTCTGGTAGAGCTGTTGCTTTTGCTTCGAGGAAGTTGAAGCCTCATGAGGAGAACTACCCAACTCATGATTTGGAGTTGGCTGCGATTGTGTTTGCTTTCAAGATTTGGAGGCATTATCTTTTTGGTTTGAGGTTTGTGGTGTTCAGTGACCACAAGAGTTTGAAGTACCTGTTCGACCAGAAGGAGTTGAACATGAGGCAGAGGAGATGGATGGAGTTCTTAAAGGACTATGACTTTGAGCTTAGGTATCATCTTGGCAAGGCCAATGTGGTAGCCGATGCTTTGAGTCGGAAATCCAGTAATTCATCCAGTTTGCTACTTGGTAACTTCGATGTGGTTGAGAAGTTCCACCACTTGGCAGTGACCGCTCCGTGTGCGAGCGTACTTCTCGGGTTGGAAGCATCAGATGTCGTCAACGAGCTATTAGAAAAGATTAAAGAGGCACAAGTTCAGAGAGTGTCTGGATTATGTGAAGAACCAAGACGGTGTGTCTTGGAATGATGATGGATTGCTTTTGTTCCAGCGGAGGATTGTGGTTCCTCGAGGTCCGTTGATAGAAGAGATTATGGCAGAAGGCCATAAGGGTCAATTTTCTATCCACCCTGGTGCTACTAAGATGTATCAAGACTTGAAGAAGAACTTCTGGTGGCCGGGCATGAAGAAAGATGTTGCTATCTTTGTGTCCAAGTGTTTGGTTTGCCAGAAGGTGAAGATTGAACACCAGAAGCCGTCTGGTAAACTTCAACCTCTTGAGATTCCGGAGTGGAAATGGGAGAGCATTTCCATGGACTTCGTTGTGGGTTTTCCGAAGACTCAGGTTGGCTGTGACTCGATATGGGTCATTGTGGACAGACTGACGAAGTCTGCCCATTTTCTTCCAGTGAAGGTGAGCTTCACACAGAGCAGTTGGCCAGATTGTATGTTCGCGAGATTGTGAGGCTTCACGGGGTGCCCGTGAGTATCATCAGTGATAGGGACCCGAAGTTCACATCTCGGTTCTGGGAGGCGCTGCAGGGAGCTTTTGGTACGCAGTTGAGATTGAGTACCGCCTATCACCCTCAGACTGATGGACAGACTGAGCAGACTATCCAGACCTTGGAGGACATGTTGCGGGCTTGCACGTTGGAGCAGGGCTCGGCATGGGATAGGTACCTTCCATTGGTAGAGTTTTCGTATAACAACAGTTTCCATGCTAGCCTGGGCATGGCACCCTACGAGGCGCTCTACGGTAGGAGGTGTTGTACACCTACCTGCTGGTCGGAGGTTGGGGATCGTGAGTTGTTTGGCTTGGATTTTGTCCAAGATATCACCCTGCAAATCCAGATGATCAGGGAAAAGCTGAAGCAGGCGCATAATCGTCAGAAGAGCTACTACGATGTCAAGCATCGACCACTGGAGTTCAGTGAGGGTGAGCACGTTTTTGTGAGACTTTCACCTGTCACCGGTGTTGGACGGGCACTCGGAGTGAGGAAGCTGATCCCGCGCTTTATTGGGCCATACCAGATTCTTGGTAGAGTAGGACCTGTTGCCTACCGGCTTGCCTTGCCTCCGAACCTGGCCAACATCCACGACGTGTTTCACGCGTCTCAGCTTCGGAGATACATAGCATACCCTTCGCACGTGGTGCAACCGGATGAGGTGGAAGTTTGGGAGAACTTAAAGACTCCCGTAGGACCACTAAAGATTCTCGATCGTGGCGAGAAGCAGCTGAGGAGCAAGATCATTCCGATGGTCAAGGTGCAGTGGACCGGAAGGACTTCTGAGGAGTGTACTTGGGAGAGAGAGGACGAGCTTCTTCGGCAGTACCCCGAGTTTCGACCAGGTATGTTTCTGATTTTGAGGTCAAAATCCTAAAAAGGTGGGGTGAATGTAAGAACCCGCACCGTTAATTAAGGAATTTAATTAATAAATTACGAGAAAATAGGAAATGATTCCATAATTGACCCTAATAATTATTTACGAGGCTTAATAATCGTAATAAGTGATTAAGAATGCTGAAAGTCGCTTTTCGGAAGAAAAGTGCAGATACCGGTTCTGCTAGTCGGTATAAATGCGTGTCGAAAAGTATCCCGGAAAATTAATGTAAGTGCATGATAATTACTAGAATAATATGTAGGACTTGTAAAACGAGTTTCAAGTCCAGATAATGAGAACTGGTGCTGGAAACCGGTACTGGCTGGTAAAAGTGCGTACCGGAAAAGTGCTTAGAAAATTATAAGAAAAATATGATAATTCTTAGAAAATTATGTAGTTTCATAATCCAAAGTTTGGGATTAAAATGCTAAGCATAGCAATTAAAGTTAATACTGTGTGTTAATTGGGTAAGTGGCTATAAATACCCTTGTTAAGGGCACAAAGCCCTAGGTTTTATGTAGCTACGTGAATGCTGGAGTGGCTGGTCAGTTGCTACTGTTCCATTGAGCTTTCTTCACCATTTTGGAGATCAAGTGTCAATTTTGCTTGGTTTCTTCACCTCCAAACACTTGAGCCTTGTGTGAGTGGTCATTGTGAGTGTGAAAGGAGCACCTTTTCTGAGTTATGGTGGCATTCTTGTTGAGGAGTGTTGTGCTTGGCTTGTGAGGCTTCAAGGAGCTTCATTTGTGAAGAAAGATCCTTGCTTGGGTGGTATTTTCGTACACCCTTGAAGTCAGCACCTTGGGAGCTGATTGTGAGCTCCAAGACCACCTCCAACCTCTGTTTTGAGCTTTGGTAAGCCTTGTCACCTTTGGTCTTGAGTCTTTGAACTTAAAAATGAAAGTTTGATGCATGTTAAGGCTTAAAGATGATAACTTGTTGTTGAGTAATGTTGAACACACCTAGAAATGCATGTTTAGGTGCTTTAAATCGTTAAAAACCCAACCTTGGAAGGATATCTTCACGAAATGCATTTTCTGCATTCTGTCGTGAAATATCTGGATATGTGCCCGATGAATATCCGGATATGTGATATCCGGATATGGGTTTTGAGTATCTGGATACTAGGTATCCGGATATGGGATTCTGGATATCCGGATATTGCATATCCGGATACGTCCAGTGAGATATCCGGATATTGCATATCCGGATATGGTCCCGAGGAATATCCGGATATTCTGGGATTTCGTAGAACAGTAGCTGTGTTGTGTGTACAGTAGGCTATTGGGGGTTTGTGGACCCTAGATTGATGAAGTTGAACTTCTGTAATTAATGAACTAAGTCAGAATTAAGTGATTAAGGACTTATGGCTTGGTATGGAGCCTTAAGACGTAAAACGTAAGGAAAGGCGTTGTCTTTAAGTTATATGCTTGTGTTGCATTATTATTGATATAGTATTGGTCCATAACAGATTGTGAATCTGCTGTGTTTGGACTTTGAGCTGTGGACTCTTGGCTTTTGGAGTTAGCTTGCAAGGTAAGCTTTTGTGTCCTCGGTTTAGCCATGTTGTGGTTCCACCATGTCCCATGGGGGTATGGTTTATGCATGCTGTGTACATGCTTTTGGATATTTGATATGTTGAATGAACTTTACATATAATGGCTTTTAATATGCATGTGTTGTTTCATCTTGACGGGAAGCCTGAGTATGTAGCGCCATACAAGACGGTGTACCGGGGTGAATGCAAGTGGTACTTGCACGGTGTGTAGGTGATAGACGTATACCTGCACTGTCTCTGGCCAGTAGATTAGTATTGACACACATGACATGATTATCTGCTGCATTGCATTGTTTTAGAAATGATAAATGATAAACTGCTTTTGAACTTATATTGCACATGTAAGTGAACTTGGGATTGAAGATCCTTGAGGACTCACTGACTTACTGAGATTTCTAGATTAGAGATCTTACCCCACATTTGGGGAATGCTTATTTCAGGATCAGGTAGTATGGGTACTGATGCCTCAGGCGGCGGGAGGCCGGAGCTTAGCTGATTATGTTGTCTCTGCTTGTTTGTTAGCATGACTGGATTTGGATGTTGTTTATGTTTTCCGCTATTTATGATATGATGTGTTGTGACTGATGTTGGGCATATTGCCTTATTTGAGTGAGCATGAGGATGCCCATGACACTTTCTGTTAGTACTTGTAGTTTGGAGTTGTATAAACTGTTAGATGGTCCGGTCTACGTTGTTGTAGTTCCGTGACTAGAGCCACACTTATATTATCTATGTTATGAGGTATTTTAGTTAGCTGTTTTATTGCAATTACATACAGGCGATGTTTATTAATTGATTATTAAGCAAGTTGGTAATGTTAATGGCATCATAATTGAAAAGAAAATGTAATTCCACATTTTAATTAAGCGCAGCTTAATACGATATTATGATAACATTATCGGATATATATACGGGGTGTTACAGTGAGTGTGGAGAGGAACAACAACGGTTCGTGTCAGTGACAAACAACTCAGCTTCGGTCTGGGAAGTAGCAAAACTAGGCTCGTCGCTGTTTTCAAAGCAAGTATCATGGGCTTCCTTTTATTTTATTTTTTACTTTTCTTATAAAAAAAAAAAAAAAACGGTGTGAGACTGGAACTGCTTTGCTTCTTCATCCCAGTGCCATACTGCTAGTGCTATATGAGGTGAGACCGTTGAATTGGAGAGCCAATGGAAATGGATCGTCCCAGAATAAATGGGTCGGGTTCTCAAAGGAAGTATGCAACAGATTTATTGAAAAGGTTCCATATGATGGGGTGCAAAACAACTGCTACACCAAAGAATACAAATGAGAAATTGTTGCTGAATGATGGTACTGAAGAAGCTAATGTACAACAATACAGAAGCTTGGTAGGTGGTCTTATTTATTTAACTCACACTAGACCTGACATCTCTTACTCTGTTGGAGTAATATCTAGGTTTATGCATACTCCTACAAAGCATCATTATGGAGCAGCAAAAAGAATTCTGAGATATGTAGCAGGAACTCGAGATTTTGGAATATGGTATAAGCAGGTGAAACAATGCAATCTGGTTGGATATACGGACAGTGACTGGGAAGGATGTATGGAAGATCGTAGAAGCACTGCTGGGTATGCATTCTATTTTGGATCTGGTGTCATTTCATGGAGTTCAAAACAACAAGCCACTGTCGCATTATCCTCTTCAGAAGCTGAGTTTATTGCAGCAACTGCAACACCATGTCAAGGAATTTGTCTAACCAGAATACTAGAAGATCTTGGACAGAAGCAAAGAGAAGAAACTCAAATTTTTTGTGATAATAAAGCAACAATAGCTATGACCAAGAATCCTGTGTTTCATGGCAGGACCATATTGATATAAGGGCACATTTTATTAGAGACCTGGTTGCTGAAGAGAAGATAAACTTGCAATATTGCAGTAGTGAAGAACAAATTGCTGATATCCTCGCAAAACCACTTGCACAAAGCAGACATGAGCAATTGAGGAATTTACTTGGTGTGTGTGATTTTGGATCAAAGGGGAGTGGTGAGAAATGATCCAAAATATGGTCACTGTTTCAGCTATAATTTAGGAAAATCTAATCTGCCATCACTCTGTTAGTTATGATTGTTTATATACATTCCTGATTTTTCTCTTCCTGTATTTGCACGTTAGTTCCATTCTCAATTAGTGGGAGTTGGTTTTCTTTTCAGTTATGTAAAATGCCTATTTAAAGGCTGTATTTGTGATTCAATAAAAATGTGGCAGAGTATTTTATTCAACACTGTGTTTGTTTTTGCCATCGTCTATTTTTATTTCTGTTAAGTTCCAACAGGCTGCACAAGTAACCACATAAACAAAACAAAACAAAACAAAAATACGATATCATCAAAAAAATCACTTCTTCATTGTTCCCAAGTATACTGTTACTATATCACAAATTTTGAAAACCAAAGTAGAGCATAACAGTATGTATTAAGCAAGGTTGTCAAACTCGTGAGTTTATTAGTTCATTAACACTAGAGACAAGAATGTATCAACTCCGTTCTGTAACATGCAATCGAGTCATACTCTGCAATACTCATCAAAACTTTAAAATTACACTAAACTTTCTCACTTTTATTGTTAAGAATTGCTTACTTACATATGCATACTACGAATTTGTTTCGGAAAATGAAAATCATGTTGTGATCTGCTTGATTTAGATATCAATTATCTAACTTCTAAACATTGCATTACATATTTTTTTTTTTTTTTTTGGAATATAATGGTGGTACTTAGATTTAAACCTATAACCTCGTGTAAACTACCCAAACACCCACCACTAGACCAATCCTAGTGGCTTAAACATTATGTTACTCTTCTTCTTCTTCTTCTTTTCAATTTATGACGCAATGGTAGTAACTTTGTTGTTATGGATATCAAAACATGTAGTTTCTATTAGGTATTTTACTAAAGTAAGTTAAACTGGCCAAATTGACAATGAAAACGTTGTTATGTAAAAGCACTATTTATGGAGATGGAAAGAAAAAGTGCAAAGGGAACAAATTAGAAAGATACCACTCAATAACACAAACTCCCTGTACATCTTCCCCAATGGACAACAAGTACTCCTTGACCTTATACACAAACTCAGCACCCATCATATTGTCAAGAGCGATATCAATATCGTAACAATCTTTTCCCAGAAGCTGCAAAACCAATCAAACACGAAACGAATCAATGGAAGAAGCAAACAATGAATTAGGGCTAGCTATCCATTTTCGGAGATAGTGAGGACCTTGTCGCGATCCCAACCACCGGCGACTCGGATCTGAGTTTGGAGTTGGAAGTGACGAAGAGTGGCGAGAAGCCTATCGAAGATGCTCTCCTCGGTGTCGGAGAGTTCAATCTTGTCACGAACATGGAAAACCTGCTGCGTAGACATTGGTGCGCATACGCAACTCTGAAACGACGGCGTTGTGGTTCGTATAAGGGTTTTTTGCGGGACGGTGAGAGTGGAGAGGAATAACAACGGTTCGTGTCAGTGACAAACAACTAAGCTTCGGTCTGGGAAGTAGCAAAACTAGGCTAGTCGCTGTTTTCAAAGCCAGTCTCATGGGCTTCCTTTTATTTTATTTTTTATTTTTCTTATAAAAAAAAGAAAATGGTGTGAGACTGGAACCGCTTTGCTTCTTCATCCCAGTGCCATACTGCTAGTGCAATATGAGATGAGACCGTTGAATTGGAGAGCCAATGGAAATAGATCGTCCCAGAATAAATAAGGTCAGGTTCTCAAAGGAAGTATGCAACAGATTTAATGAAAAGGTTCCATATGATGGGGTGCAAAACAGCTGCTGCACCAATGAATACAAATGAGAAATTGTTGCTGAACGATGGTACTGAAGAAGCTAATGTACAACAATACAGAAGCTTGGTAGGTGGTCTTATTTATTTAACTCACATTAGACCTGACATCTCTTACTCTGTTGGAGTAATATCCAGGTTTATGCATACTCCTACAAAGCATCATTATGGAGAAGCAAAAAGAATTCTGAGATATGTAGCAGGAACTCTAGATTTTGGAATATGGTATAAGCAGGTGAAACAATGCAATCTGGTTGGATATACGTACAGTGACTGGGCAGGATGTATGGAAGATCGTAGAAGCACTACTGGGTATGCATTCTATTTTGGATCTGGTGTCATTTCATGGAGTTCAAAAAAACAAGCCACTGTCGCATTATCCTTTTCAGAAGCTGAGTTTATTGCAGCAACTGCAACAGCATGTCAAGGAATTTGGCTAACCAGAATACTAGAAGATCTTGGACAGAAGCAAAGAGAAGCAACTCAAATTTTTTGTGATAATAAAGCAACAATAGCTATAACAAGGAATCCTGTGTTTCATGGCAGGACCAAGCATATTGATATAAGGGCACATTTTATTAGAGATCTGGTTGCTGAAGAGAAGATAAACTTGCAATATTGCAGTAGTGAAGAACAAATTATTGATATCCTCACAAAACCACTTGCACAAAGCAGACATGAGCAATTGAGGAATTTACTTGGTGTGTGTGATTTTGGATCAAATGGGAGTGTTGAGAAATGATCCAAAATATGGTAATTGTTTCAGCTATAATTTAGGAAAATCTAATCTGCCATCACTCTGTTAGTTAGGATTGTTTATATGCATTCCTGATTTTTCTCTTCCTGTATTTGCACGTTAGTTCCACTCTCAATTAGTGGGAGTTGGTTTTCTTTTCAGTTATGTAAAAAGCCTATTTAAAGGCTGTATTTGTGATTCAATAAAAATGTGGCAGAGTATTTTATTCAACACTGTGTTTGTTTTTGCCATCGTCTATTTTTATTTCTGTTAAGTTCCAACAGGCTGCACAAGTAACCACATAAACAAAACAAAACAAAACAAAAGTACGATATCATCAAAAAAATCACTTCTTCATTGTTCCCAAGTATACTGTTACTATATCAGAAATTTTGAAAACCAATGTAGAGCATAACAGTATGTATTAAGCAAGGTTGTCAAACTCGTGAGTTTATTAGTTCATTAACACTAGTGACAAGAATGTATCAACTCTGTTCCGTAACATGCAATCGGGTCATACTCGGCAATACTCATCAAAACTTTAAAATTACACTAAACTTTCTCACTTTTAATGTTAAGAATTGCTTACTTACATATACATACTACGAATTTGTTTCGGAAAATGAAAATCATGTTGTGATCTGCTTGATTTAGATATCAATTATCTAACTTCTAAACATTGCATTACATTTTTTCTTTGTTTTTGTTTTTGTTTTTTTGGTGGTACTTAGATTTAAACCTATAACCTCGTGTAAACTACCCAAACACCCACCACTAGACCAATCCTAGTGGCTTAAACATTATGTTACTCTTCTTCTTCTTCTTTTCATTTTATGACGCAATGGTAGGAATTTTGTTGTTATGGATATCAAAACATGTAGTTTCTATTACGTATTTTACTAAAGTAAGTTAAACTAGCCAAATTGACAATGAAAACTTTGTAATGTAAAAGCACTATTTATGGAGATGGAAAGAAAAAGTGCAAAGGGAACAAATTAGAAAGATACCACTCAATAACACAAACTCCATGTACATCTTCCCCAATGGACAACAAGTACTCCTTGACCTTATACACAAACTCAGCACCCATCATATTGTCAAGAGCGATATCAATATCGTAACAATCTTTTCCCAGAAGCTGCAAAACCAATCAAACACGAAACGAATCAATGGAAGAACCAAACAATGAATTAGGGCTAGCTAGCCATTTTCGGAGATAGTGAGGACCTTGTCGCGAACCCAGCCACCGGCGACTCGGAGCTGAGTTTGGAGTTAGAAGTGACGAAGAGTGGCGAGAAGCCTATCGAAGATGCTCTTCTCGGTGTCGGAGAGTTCAATCTTGTCACGAACATGGAAAACCTGCTGCGTAGAAATTGGTGCGCATACGCAACTCTGAAACGACGGCGTTGTGGTTCATATAAGGGTTTTGGCGGGACGGTGAGAGTGGCGAGGAACAACAACGGTTCGTGTAAGTGACAAACAACTCAACTTCGGTCTGGGAAGTAGCAAAAGTAGGCTAGTCGTTGTTTTCAAAGCCAGTCTCATGGGCTTCCTTTTATTTTATTTTTTATTTTTCTTATAAAAAAAAAAAGAAAACGGTGTGAGACTGGACCACTTTGCTTCTTCATCCCAGAGCCATACTGCTAGTGCTATATGAGATGAGACCGTTGAATTGGAGAGCCAAAGGAAATGAATCGTCCCAGAATAAATGGGTCGGGTTCTCAACCCCATAGACCAATTCTTCTTTCTTTTTCTTTTTTCTTTATTTAAAAGAACCAAGAAATGGGTTGGTTGCAACATAAGTTCATTTATATTTTTTAATTCTTAATATGTATTGAAAAATTGATAGGCTTAAATAGACTAATATGTGAATTTTTTTGATTTTTTAATGGGATAGGATATTTCTCATCTTTTTCAATGCTTTATTTACTTTCTCGAAGATCGTTAGATCACAATTTTATCAAATAATGAGAGGAGAGAGAAAATGTAAAGTTCGAGTGAGATTATAATTTAATGATATTAGAAAAAAAAATAGACATGAAAAATATAGGAATAATATCATATCCTTTTTTTACTATAGGCGATCTAGCTTATATCAACCTAATAGGTGAGTTTAAGGTAAGGTTAGACTTTGGTTTAAATAGGTCAAATCTATTCTTATTTTTTTTTTTGGAATTCTCCTATTTTTTCATCCAAAAATAAAAATAAAAATAGGTAAGTTCAAGCTCAAATAAGAATAGGTCTGCGCCCAACCCATTTACCCCATAGCAAAAAAAGGCCTTGTTTCGATTAGTGGCCG